TTAATGCGTTGCTTAATAATATATTAACTAATTCATATTAATTATCGTATAATAATTAATTAATATATTAGCAAATCTATTCAAAGCCATCACGATGATATCTCTATGGCAAGTAAACAAGCTGACAAAAAAAAGAGGAAAGAAAAATCTCGCGAGTGTGAATTGATGCGACACAGCAAAGGAAAGAAAGAGATCGCGATCGCGCACGATTTCAATTTTGCTCTTGATTGTCTTTAAGTAGAAAGCAATTAATATTGGGTAGCCAAGACGGCGCTTCAAGATGGTGCGCAGGAGATAAACAGAAGCAGAGCCGAATAGCATTCTATTAAGTATACATTGTGACTGCTCGTTCTATTCAATTCAATTAGATGAAGCATCAAGTTAGTGACGACTAGCATCCTCAACGCGAATTATTTCTAAACGCGGTTGTTCGAAGATGCGAGAGTGAACGAGAGATTTCTTATGGTTACGAATCATATTATTCGAATGTCTGTTTTTGAACTAACTTGATAAAAATTCGAAAAAAAAAGCAGGATCTTTTGGTGCTATTATTTGTATTTGGTACGATTACTGATTAGTATTATACTATTATTTAGATATCATTTTATATCATTTATTTAAATTAAATGTATTATTCATATATCCAGTAACCAAACTCAAAATTAGATCACATACAATTATATTTATAGCTGGAAATCTGTTGCAAAGCGACTTTGCGCTTATGGCGGATCAATACTCATGCGAGAGCCAATTAATAATGATACGAATTCCCTGCTGCTCGTTATATTACTGAGATTCATTATTTTTCTAAAAATGCTAGGAATTCTTTCGAAATACCTTGAGATATGCTAAACTTCCAAGAGCAAGACTTCTGCTCACGTGCCTGTTAATTTCGCAGCTGCTATCTGATTCTCATCTTCTCCCGTGCTTAAATTGAACGCATATCCTTTCTCTCCATCGAACAATTAAATTCAGACCGAAACGATCATTTAAACGTTCCTAAAAAATGACTCGATTATTACACAACGCGTTACTAAGCTTAAAAAAATTCTCCGTGTTATTTATTAGAATTTTTCCGTTATCCGTGCAAAGACAAGAACCTCTCTTTGGAGAATTCATATCTCAAGATATCCTCCAGCTGCTTAAAATTCCGCAAGAGAAATCTCCGTTCGCCTTCTATACGCGCTATCCGATTCTCGTCATTTGAAAGAAAAAAAAAGATGCATATTTCACCGATTCGATATCGAGCGAAATTGAACGTTCGTAAATTCAACGTTAAGCAGTCACACGCATTTAGCATCGGAGTAATTTTGCAGCAACAGAGAGCGGATCAATACTCGCGCGAACGCCGATCAATAATCCCGGTAACCTTTGACTAGGTGGTTTATACACACCAGCCAAAATTCTCCGTTCCTGGACGAGATGTCAGGCCGACGAGCAAGGCATCTCCGCGGGAAGGGATACTCTCGTCTTCTGTGAAAATTCCAAGAGAAGGAACCCGACTCGCCTCTCTTCTAGTATCGCACAGCGTATAGCGACAATTACAGTGCTCGGGCCGCGCAAGCGCTGCGCTCTTTCGTTCGTTGAACCGTTCGTGAGAGAACCGCTCAAACGTATACATACGTGTGTGCATGTATGTATGTGTGTGCGTCGGACAAAAAGAAAAAATGTAGATTAAAGAGAAAGAGAGGGAGAAAGAGGCAGACAAAGATGAAAAAAAAGAGAGACACAATACCGCGTCAATTCCGGTACCGACATTATTTTCGCGGATTCATAATCCAGAAATATTTTTCAAATATTATATAAGCGATATAGCAAAACAGTGGTGGTGTAAGTAATAATAATGGTGGTAATACTATTTATTTGGGTTCGAAATGAAATTTTCTTTCATTAATTTCGAGTCAATTTTACATTGTCACAAATGTCCAAAATCTTTAACGAGGAATGTTGTTCTAGTCGCATTTAGGGATATTACGTTTTTTCTCTGGCGTTCTGTTTCGAAAAGACGGCTATCTTTGAAGAGTAAATTAATCGATCGCGATTAAGTTGGCCCGAGACTAACTTTCTGCTTAGTCTTCTCGAGCTAAAGAGAATCACGTATCTTCAGGATAAATCTCGATGTCTCCAGTCGATAGCTAAACGTGTTTCGGAAGAACATTTCGAAATATTCGATGAGTTTTTATATATAATTCAACAAATATATCTCTCTTACGTCATCAATTTATTATAATTATTGTGATTATCACGAATCAAATCATCATTTTTGTGATGTCTTTCGAATGAAATTATATATTCTATAATTATTCATGTATTATTTATATAAGAACCTATATGTCACATTTATGCCAGGATTTATTCATGTATTAAATATTTATACGTTCTAAATATTTTTATTTTATTTTATTACACACATATATATATATATCGTTTTTTTTTAAATTTTGTGCAAGTCAAAAGTGGAAAATTTTACTCAAATATCTACATATATTAATAAAAGTAAATGTCAAAAAATTATATTTTATTTATATATTATACATAATATGTAATACGTATAAAAATATATATATATATGTGTGTGTGTGTGTAAATTTATATTATTCATTTATCTACAAATTATTTATTCCAAATCTAATTTAATTATTAATTTTGTTGATTACAAATTATTGTAGATGATTATTTGCTCTAGTTTAAACAAATTGTTCCTGTTACAAAGTTTGTAGATTGATTTATTTCGTTCATACCAAATTACTGTAATTAATGAAATATATATAGATTACATATGCTGCGCATCAAGTTCTTCGCGGATAAACTTTACTCTCCTTCGTCGATGCATCACCGCTGCATCATTGGCATAATTAGAATGAATGCATCATCGGTTATAGAACTGTCAATCTGCATCGTACATTTCAGATCATAATCTGCAATAGCGCAGTTAAGATATTTATTTTACGCTAAGAACAAAATTCCACTAATTACAAAACGCAATGCAAAGAGATCATCATTTTTCTCAGAAGAGCACCGTTTCGAGAAAAAAAAAAAAAACTGGTTATTTGTTTCATCCTTTTTCGCACATAAAAAAAGATAAAAATTTAATTAAAAAACAAAAAGAAAAGCGCATTTGGAAATGAAAATATACAAAAACATGGAAGAGAGTAAAGTGACGTTCCCGCATCCCGATGACTAATCCGATGATCTACCGGGTGTGCTCGTAGAATCGCAGCGTTCTTTTGCGCGGCACATTGTGTGTGCATCGTTATATTATGGATTCACCAACACACGCGTCGGCGAGACGAGTCGAGTCGAGCCGAGTCGAGTCGATTCGAAGCGGATCCGACGAGATCGCGGCGTCGGCGTCGCTCGGCGTCATCGACGACGCCGACGCCGCCTCCGCTCACTCTGCTCCGAGCTGTCAAACGCGCCGCACACGACCTGGTCGAGCTCTCCGCTCGCATCACATTTACTATTCGGGATCCTCCGACACACTCTTCGCCCTGTGCCGTCTCATCATCTTCAGAGACCACTCGGTCGTTTCCGGAAACAGCGTCCAGCTCGCTCCCTTAGCTCGTTAACAGACCGCTTCTTCGCTTCCGGATAGAAAGTTTGGTTCTCCACGTTCTTCAAGCTGATTTCCTCTGTACTTGTCGACTTCTCGTCTTCGACGATCCCCTATATCGATCTCACAATCTCAGCCGCACGAGTCGGACGAATCTCAGTTCTGTGCGGTTTCCATGGGAGAGCCGGCGCGCCGGTAGATCCCTCTCTCCTTCTCGGAATCGTGTCCTTGGAATCGCTCGCCCGCTCCTTGCGAATGTCGTCGAGCAACTCGTTGTCCTCCCCGCTCAAGGACACACTTGATCCTGCGATGAGAAATGCCTATTGCCGGCGTTTCGCGGCTCATCATCGCGAACCGGAGGATGGCAGCCGGAGTCGCGAGACGACTTAAGATCCCCTGAGACCACAGCTCGGATTGCGGGCCCTCGAAGATTACGGCTTATCAAAGTCGGAGAGCGAGAATCGGACCAGGCTGGAGGAAGAATCGTGCAACTTGAAGGTAAAAGCTTCCCTCTGACAGGGGTCCATCGCGGGGGTTAGAGTATCGCCTGTCCCCCTTCGTGTCTCCCCCTCTTTCTCCTCCATACCGGCCGGCTTTGAATCAATAATCTCCGACCAAGATTATATGTAGGCTCTCCTGTATATAGTATCTTGTACCTTTGACGATGAGAAGAAAAAAAAAATAATAATTCGAGGAAAAGGGATTTTTTTTTCGAAATTGATTTTTCTTTTCGCATCGATGCGTCCTGTTTCTCTGTCTTTTGTTTCGCTCTCGTTCTCTTCTGGGTCTAGCAGCGGTGCGCGATATCAGTGCGCGGATTATTGATTTCTCCATTCTCTCTCTCTGGCTTGCTTATGTTATTTTCGTGAAAATGGTAGAGCGCGATGATCGTTGATTATAATAACGGTGATATCACTTATCTTTCAGGAGAAAGATAGGGGCAGAAGAAGTCATGGTTCCCGCGGTGCACGTAACGACCCAATTAATCTTTATTTCATGTATGTTACTTTACCGTCTCAATTTTATGTTTGATATCATTTATTTTGTTTCAGTTTACGTTAGTATTTTTATTTTTACATTCGCAGTATTTGTTTAAAAATTTTTAATATATATATATATTTTTTTTTATTCTTGACATAATTTATCATTTTCAACATATTTAACCTTTTTAACTAATATATTTTGGTAAATCTTTTTTATTTATTTGTATGGAATGTTCATATAATACATGAATAATAAAGTTGTTATTATTTTTTTTTTTTAATTTGATATTTACAGAATTTTTATTTTAATAACCTATTGATATTTATGTACGATAGGTCACAGCTGGTTTGCGGACTTAATTATCTTACGAAGAGGGAAAAGAGCTTCTTTTAAAAAATTAATTGCTACGTTTTCGTTGAAAAATGATTCTTAATAATTCTCGATTTAAACTTGGTATTTGCAGATGGCAGAAACACCCGAGATGGAATCGCCTTCGGCCCGTCAGGACTGTCTCGTTGAGGCCCAAGAGGATTCCACCTCAGTGGAGCCTGAAGCGGAAAGCGTATTATCTTCAAGCAAGACGATGACGACAGAAGCTGAGGAGAGCGCGCGAGATTCTCGCGAGGACTTGGCGCGCGAGAGACTGGACAAAGGATCGGAAAGTCAAGGACCTCAGGAGAGACAATCGAGCGAAGAAGAGGTAGACGCGGACCTAAAGTTGGCAAAAGAAAGCAGCGAGACGGGGAAAAATTTAGATATTGATTTCGACGTGGTGGCGTCGACGAAAGACTCTCTCCGAGAATCCGAGGAGTCTTTGAAGATGCCTGATTCTCAGAATTGGAACGCCGAGGATGAGGAAGATAGAATTGAAAGGAAGAGGTCGACCGGGAGCGACTTTCTGCCAATCGGCGCCGAGATCAGAAGGGTTGGCGTCGAAATCTCGGAGGAAGAGGCGACCCAAATGAGAAACGACGTCAGAAGGTTGTCGCCGGTATTAGTGAGTTTGCGGGAGAGAACCCTGGGCGAGGTCTTCCTATCTTCGCAGTCCTGTCTCTTCGCGGACGAGACTGACGGGAAGACGTCGCGGAGTAACGACACCCCGCAAGACTCATCCGCGAAGAACGATTCCAAAATTGAGGCTGTCGATCAAAGTGAAATGCGACACGTCGACGAGGAGGAAGACACGGTCATCAAGGTCGGCACGAGTCTTTCAGATTGCTCGAAGAAGCTGAACTTCGATGAGGAGATGCTCGACGCGGCTTCTCCGGTTCCTTCCAGGTCCGAGGATTCAAACGAAACGAGTCAGGACACGCCGAGCAAGAACGAAGTGACGTCGAGTCCTGCGTCGAGTCTCGTTTGTCGACGTTTAGCTGTGGTGCTGAACCGCATCAAGGAGGAAGACATGAAAGAGAACAAGTCGACGGACGAAAACGTCGACGAAAGCCTGTGGAACGTCGAGGAAGGTCCTGTATATTCTAAAAGGAAAAGAAATTCCGTCGAGGAGGAGTGCGATTCGTCTTCGGAGACTTTGAAGACCAGGGAGAGAAGCCCGAAGAAAGTACGGTGGCAAAATCATTCCTCCCCGGTGACGAGATCGAAGAAGTGCGAGCTGACGGAGGATAGTCAAAGTCCGGATCGTAATCCGATACTGAAAACGTGTAAGGTGGTATTGGAACGAATGAAGAGCGAGCTCGAGCACGTTGAGGAATTCGAGGCGCTCAAGAGATCCGAAAGAGAGGAACTCGCGCCCGTGGCGGTGATCGGCAAGCTAGAGGTGGACGAGGAGGTGGTGCTGACGAGCTCATCGTCCTCGGCCGAGAACAGCCGTGCGTTTAACGAATTGGACTCGCTGGAGACGACGCCGAGCTCGCCGGAAGAGGGAGAGACCACGCCGGAAGAGACGTCGGTCGACGTCGGCGCCGAGGGTGTCGACACCGAGACGGAAACCGAGACCGGCTCCGACAGCTCGGAGGTGTCTCCCATGACGAACATCCGCGACGTCGACATGGCGTCGGAGCATCAGCTGCCCTGCTCCGAGGAAGGGCCGCTCTGCTGCGTGGAAGCAATGGCGCCGATCATGACCAGGCTGGAGACCGAACGACCGGAAGCGTACACGGAGGACTCCGCCGAAAGTCTGACGCTGGCCACCGGCGCCAGGGACGAAGTTAGATCCGATGGCAGCGATTCGGGTCTAGGGAACGAGATTTCGGGGGATCCTGGACCGGCGCCAGCGCCGGAGAGCGACTCGGAGACCTCTTTCCTCGACCGACTGCCGGACGATATCTTGTCTGACAAGGAGAAAGGTAGGAAGTCTTTCTTGTTGCAATTTTTTGTTTAAAAATTGTTCAGATTTTTTTATAGTGTTTGAAATTTTATTATTTTAGAATATTTTAGATGACTAATTAGTCTTCTGATCTTTAATGAAGATATTCAAAATGTTGATGACATACGTGAACTCTCATATAGTCGTTTAGATGACAAATTGGATGTACAAATTATCATATCACTCGCTCATTAATTTTTAAACGCTCCAAAAATTATTTTCATTTTGATTTTTATTCTCTATCCTTTTATTCATCACATTTTATACATCAATTACGAGATACTGTATATCAGATGCTATTTTATTCAGCGTTTAATTTTGGAAGTGTTCAGTACTTTATTTATTCAGTGTCTGAACTGTTATTCGTGTATGCATGAACCATGTTTTATTATTTATTCGTTTTTTATAAAAGATTCTCTACTCTGTTTTATTCCATAATTATATTCGATTTTTAAACTGTTAACCAAAATTTTATTTATTCAACGTTTGCATTGTTATTTGCACGAAGAATATTTTATTATTTATTGTACCTTTATAAAAACTATTGTACAATATAATTGAAAATAATATAAAATAATTAAAATATTCTCTATTTCTATAGTACACAATTATTTTAATTTAAACAAGTTGAAATTTCAAGAAAAATTTTTCGTCAAATTAGACCATTTGAAACGATCTTTCGAAAGTTTTTATGTTTAATACAAAAGTTTTAAAATTAAAAGCAAGACTTCTCCTTGCCAGTTTAATCTCGCAGTTGCGCCGGTCGAAGATATCCAGCGAGCGAGTGAGGAGCGCGCAACTCGATAAGCCTTGCATCGATTGTCAACATGCGACACACCGGGTGTTCCGAAAGCGCAAACCGTAAATTCACAAAAAAAATTCATAAAATCTTCGATCCAAAAATTGTCACTTAATCGATCCACCGAAGCCTCAAATTAATAGCTTCTCTTACAGCAAGAATCCGCCATATATTGATTTCTTCATTAATTGATCAAAGATACTATTATCGTCGCGAAGGAATTTTTGCGTTGACAAGAATTTCGTTTCGAAAATTTCACACGGTACATATTGCTGACAAGGAAAGATCGCAGTACTATTTTTTTTATCGATACAAAAGTGCACAAATCGTGTCGGCGACTGGAAGACGGAATTCTGCATGCTACATTTCATGACACGATATGTTCCTTTCAGGCGTGAATCAACTGGATGGCTTCGCGCCGTCCTCAGGTACGTCCGAGGCCTCGGGCCAGGCACCCCTGACAAGTTTCCGGACACTTCCGGCCAAGAGCAATTTGAAGCGCAGGCTGACCGACTGCATGGAGAGCGAGGAGTCGCGAAGCAACCCCGATGAGCCCGTGAAGAAAAAGCGCAACATCCAGTTCGATGCAGTAACAGTTTATTACTTTCCCAGGACGCAGGGCTTCACCTGCGTACCTTCCCAGGTGAGTCTTAAAAAAAAGTCTTTTCGCTTCTTTTTCACTTTTAAGCAGCAACTTTATATGCGTGTCTTCTCTATCTAAATATTTGGTATCTCTATTTTAAATGTCTTGTTATATTTTTAATTTATTTATTAGATGTATCTAAATTTTGTGTAATGTTTCTATGCCGTTGCTCTGATAGAATAAAATTTATTTAGCCTCGTTCTCTTTGTAATCGCATATTTCGTACATTGCGGATTGTTCATGTTTTCAGGGATTTATCTTCGAAATAAAATAAGATCCCGCGAGATAAGCTCAAATATATTTCATGTATTGTCAGTTATCTATCATTTATTTATTTTCGATTTAGCTTTTTTTAGCACATAAATATCTAATTAATAACTTTCTCTTCTCCATAAGATAATTAAATCCTGTAGCCTATTATACATAAATATCAAATTTAAAAAACAATTTTATTTGATTGTCTTATTATATTACTCAAATAAAAAAATTTATTTATATCCATAAATAGTAAAATGCTTCAAAAAATTTCTTGTACTAAGAAAACATGGTATTATTTTAAAATATTACGAGAATGCTAGCCGTCGAATTTATATAATGTGTCATACAAAGATTATGTAAGAAAATAAATTTCTTTTTCTTTCGCTTTTATGCAAGACATCCTGTTTGAATTTCTCCCTCCAATATCATTTACGATATCATTCAATCATAACACGATAATAGTCACCATTGAATTTGTATAAGAGACACGATTCTACTTTTTTGTGTGCCATTACTTTACAATAAAATTTTATAGCATCGTGATATGATGTCTTTTATTGATTTCAGCCATAAGGGACTCTGTCGACTGTACAAAAGTAAACGAACAAATTTTCTCACCAATGTGACAACATAATATCACGAGACTATTCGTTTTATTGCTAACAGGGTGTATTTATTTTACATTATTATTATTATTAATATTTCAATTTCATTGAAATCATATTACCTCCCAATATATACGTTTGTCATTAAAAAAAGATAAAAAAATTAATCTCTTTTAAAGAGATTTTTCCGCAAAAAGAGATAAAAATTTCATTCCCAAAGTACGTAAAAAAAAAAAAAAGAAAAAAAAATATTTTGACAACGCAATCGATTTTATTTTTCATTTCAGGGCGGCAGCACTCTGGGGATGAGCGCGACGCATACACACGCCGAGAGATTCTCGCTGTCAGAACACGCGGCTGAGCAGAGGCGAATCCATCGCGCGCATCTCGCGCAATTGCGCTCGGAGCGCAACTGCGCGACCAGCTGCGTGACCGAGACGGCGTCGAGCTCGGAGGATCCGAGCGACGACACCGACGAGGAGCCGAGCGACACCGAGGAGCTCGACATCGACAGCTACTACTTCCTGCAGCCGGTGCCGACGTGGCAGCGCCGGGTGATGCTGAGGAACGCCGGAGTGCGAAGGATAGACGCCGTCGAGAAGGACGAGTGTCGCGACATACGCGCTAGCAGAGAGCACTGCGGATGCGGCTGCAAAGGATACTGTGATCCTGAAAGCTGCCCCTGCAGCAGGGCGAGCGTCAAGTGTCAAGTAAGTCGCGAAAAAAAAAAAAATTGCAATTTTCATTTATATTTATTTCTTATGAGATACTCGTTCTCTATTCTCAATTATTTTCAAAAGAGACTCCGTCAGATATATGTATATATGGTATGTGTGAGAAATTGTGATCCTCGGTGGATATAAAGTGAAAAATTAAAGAATAGCTGACCTACTTTTTTAAAAACTCCAGAGGAGTGTAGATTTAATTTCCCCTGCTTTGGGATTAATATTTTATGCGTAATTTGGATTTAATCTTTTAAAATTCTTAAGAAACCACCGACTCCTCTAGCGATTAATCTTTCCATTTATTAACACATTCAGTTCAGATTAGTTCTTCCGACAAATCTGGGGATTAATAGATTAAATCGAAATCGATTTTTTCTCAAGATAAAAATTAACAGAGGACATTATTTAAGAGATCTTGAGAGAATAGGTTAAGAATAATAAAAAAATGTAATTAATTGTTACCCTAGAAAAATGTTTCAAACAAAAATGTTTTCATATATTGTAATTATCGAAAGAAAAAGCAATCGATTAATTTATTCAGTCGATTTAAAAAGCACATAGACTATATATTATCTTTTTATCTTCGCAACCAATTTTTGATATAATTTTCATTTTAAATGGGTATGATTTTCGGTTTTAAATAATATTTTTATAATCTGCTTGTTCTGTAATTCCATAAAAATCAATTTTTAATTAATGTAAAAAAAAAAAACTCGACCGGTTGAAAAAGTTTGCTACGTTAAAAATTGAAATAAAAAATGATAAAATTATATTAAAAAAAAAAAAAAAAAAAAAAAAAAAAAAAAAAAAAAAAAAAAAAAAAAAAAAAAATGAGTAAGCCTGATCTCCCGAAGCACAAATTTTGATCGAATTCGACTTTTAGGTGGACCGGCCGGGATTTCCTTGCGGCTGCACGCGGGATGGTTGCGCAAACAGCTCCGGCAGAATCGAATTTAACCCGGTGCGTGTGCGAACGCACTTTATTCACACGCTAATGCGCCTCGAGCTGGAGAAGAAGCAGCGCGAGGAGGAGGTCGGTGGCGAGCACGCGGATCAGGTTGCGGACAATCAGAGGCAGGTCGGCAGAGGAAACGGCGCTTCGCTGCGAGACATCGATTCCCTAGGGATGGATATCGCCGGCAGGAGCGGCGACGCGTGCGCGATCCCGGGTCCCGCGGGCGGAGGCGGATTCACGACCTTGCACTACGAGACGGGTCACGAGGGTGGTGTGGTGACAGCGGGCTGCCAACCGGAGGTCCCCGGCACGAGGGAGGACAGTTTAGACCTGTACGCCATCAGGGACGATTGTTACGCGAGCGAGGACACGGTCGACGGCAGCCAATCGGTCGCGGTGCAGCGGAAGCTGCATCCGGAATTCGGCCAGGCCTTCCAGAGCTTCTCGACGGGGGCGCAAAACGCCGGAAGTGGCGGCGCCGGAGGTGGCATGAGCTTCCAGCAATCCTCGTATCAGGATTACGTGACGTCGCCGTACGCGAATCTACCGTCCACGTCGCGGGTCTCGCAGTTCCAGCCGCAATTTCAATCCTCGCCTAATCCGGCCGCGTTCGCGCACTACGGACCCTATCCAGGCACCCAGGATCCCGCGAACGCCGCTCTCCATCAGGCGCCACCGGGTCAGCAGCAACAGCAGCAACAGCAACAGCAGCAACAGCAGCAGCAGCAGCAACACTCGTCCTACGACTCGACCGTGTTCGCGCAGGAGGAAGCTGCGAGTGCAGCGCAGTACACGAATCTCACGAATTCGGTACAACCGATGAACGCGACGACGGTGGTGCAGCAGATGCAGAGCAAGCTCGAGCCCTTCTCGGAGCTGCTCAGCGGCAGGTATTCGTACTACGGCGAGATGCACGAACCGCAGCAGCATCACGGTACTTACGGAACTCACGGTGGCCACGCGAGTGCGGCCGGAAAAATCGCGGAGATGGTCGTTGAACCGGGCCAGGTAGTCGGGGAGCAACAGACCGAGGGCACATCCGAGGATTGCGACGAGAACTTTGGCGAGATTATCAAAAAGTCGATGGTCGAGACCGTGTCCGCTTAAAATGGGGAGAAACCTAACGGAATTTCAGGATAAACGCATCGAAAATAAGCGTCAAAAACCGGAAGAATACGTAAAGAACCTTTTTTAACGCTCGAAAGAGTTTATTTTCTTCGAGCCTTTTGTCGGGAGAGAGAAAATGTCCGAATATAATTGTCTGAAGTTCGAGGAGTATAGTACAGAAGTTAATATTCCGGTATATACACCCCGATATATAGACCCTGTCGCGAGAATCCCGAAGTCGGAGGACTTCGAGGACGATTTAAGGGGATCCTAAGCTAAACTAAGTTTCCTTCCTGTTTTATCGACGAAATGTGAGGTTGAATAAACTATAAATCTATTTATTGGCTATACGGATTGTTTTTAATCTGAAATTAGAACGCTTCGTCCTTTGTTAATCTTAATACTTTAATTTGTACAAGAAAAGATTTATCAATTTGTATATCTTGGTTACAGAGTCACGAATGCTTAGAATTCATAATTCTCCAACTAAGATATATGAGACTATACAGATTGATCAATCTTTTTCCTGTACAAATTAAATTATTAATATTAACAAAAAGCGAAGCGTTAAAACGATCCGTAGAGCCAATAAATAGATTTATAGTTTATCTAACCTCACATTTTGTCGATAAAACAGGGTGAAAATCATAGATTTCTCCAGCACGTTTAGGATCATCTTAAACAGAGGGGGAATTTTTTCGGAATTTACTAATGATGATGAAGATATATAATGGTGCCCTCCGAGGGAAAAGAAAGGGGCCATAGAATCAGACTGACGAGGGGGTTTCGAGAGGAAATCATTAGAGAATTTTGCGGTTACGACGTGTGCGTCCGCCCGGGATGGAGAGACTCGTAAACGTCATCGTCGACAGCCTCGTCGATTTCTGCAGAAACGAGATATCGGCTGAACCGCTTGACTTCGCAAACTGAAGAGACCATTTACGATTTTTATTGCAATCGATTTTTTTTTTATTCACGGCAAGGGCTAAAGTAACGATTACAAGATTGTGAAATTAAGTGATTCATATCAAGGTATAGGTCGACGACGACGTGATCGAACGAGACGACGAAAATCTGAGCTCGCGCCGGTTTCGAGATGATTTTTCGAGCTTCGAGTTCTCGTCGAGAATCTTCAAGAGTGATCCGTAAGCAATGACGAAGAAAAGATTTCAACGAGGTTGTGACCAAGAAATAACATGGGATCAGCTTATAGGTTGCAGTTTATAATATCTAATACTTTAATACTTCTAAGCGTAGGACCGAAAACGGGTCTTTTTAAAACTAGCCTCGAATCGAAGGGGCTGCGGTCCATAGTTAATATCTATCTAGAACGAATCTGCTACCTCTAATTCGAAAGAACCGCTCTGGAATGTATACTCAACTTTTGTCAACGTTTATATATTATTTACTTAATCGTATTTTATATAGAAGTTAATATTTTTAATACAATATTTTTTACTTTATATACAATTAATTCGATATTTTTATATATTAAAATTTATATGATACTTGTATAATATTAATATGTAGAGAAAAATATGTGTATAATTTATTCAATATATTTTATAACAAAATTTATCAAATAAAACTTTAGGGACTAAGATTCATATTAGATTAATTAATCTCAATTTCTTACACTCAAACTATTAGCATTAATAAATATTGTAAAAAAAACTGTGTGCTGAAAAATGCATTACAACTCTTGATGGAAATGATATTCCAGAATAAGAAGTGCGGATCTTTCGACTCGTTAGAGCAGCAAAACATATCGTTCTAGAGCGATATTTCGAGACGTAAACGAGGCGACAGCATTTGGCTGAGATTGCCTCTCGAAAACGGCAAACGCAACAATAGCAACAACAAAATAAAAACGCGAAAAAAAGCATATATACACGATACATTCATAGATGAGCGTTAAAATATGATTGTGATACTTGTGCGTACGAAGAAAAAAAAAAGAAAAAGAAATGGTGCGATCTGTCACCAAGTTCATCGGTTAAGGAACAAATCATGCGGGACTTTTTTTTTATGCCGATCAATCATAGAAATTACGAGTATTTTGATGGTGATTATTTCGACGACAAAGCGCGGATTTCGATTATTTTTCTCTCGCAAACGTATCCACCATAAATTACTAAGCGAGGAAACTCGGAAAATGTCAAACGCGTCGAGCGCCTGAAAAATATTTTTCAGATGAATGCATTTTTTTATACCCGCAGCAATTCTTTATATTTATAAATCATTATATATATTATATAAATTTATAATGATAAATAATATAAAGAGAGAAGAGAGAGAGAATATATATATATATATATATATATATATATATATACATATATATATATATATATATATATATATATATACTCTATATATACTATAATATATATAAAATTATACATATATATATATATATATCAAGTATATACAAATGTATATAATTGTTAATTCTTTATTTTTGTAAATTATTTCATCGTCATGACCATGATTCGATCAAGAATCTAAAAATTAATTTGTTTGCTCTAGAAATCGAAGTAAGTTAGTCTCATATGCGTTGCCAGCGTGTTTCTAAAGAACTTTTCTGTAATTATAATTATATATACATATTATAATTATATAATTATACACATATACAGCGATTATATAATACTGTATATTTCTATTCTTTGGCGCTCGATAGATTTGAAATTTTCCATTTTAAATTGTTAATACACGTCACATGTACAATTGTAATTACTATTACAAATGTATATGTAATAATATATATATTAACACATTTGTAATTAATTTTATGGTGCCTATATAATTATATACATATACGATCATGCGATGTCTTCTCTAAATAAAGGAGGCTTTCCGAAAGTGTGAACGGGTAAAATTAAAAAAAAAAAAAAAAAACGATAAAGAAGAAGAGACAGAAGAGAAAGGAGGAAATTCGCGCTTGTGCTCGGCTTCTCGCGAAGAAACGTCGAGAGAGAAAAGCTCGCGAAGGGCACAACGCAACATCATTATCATCATCACCACGCCGACTACTTATCTTTTGCACGCCCATCATCCTCAATCAATCCAACCAATCAATCGCCCCGTAGAAGATATTGCGACAGAAAAAAACGGACCTCTCTTTAGCGCATCCCGGGACGTTGATCGCTGTGTCAACGATTAATTGAAATATTATATATAAATATATAAATATATATAAATATAAGCGAATGTAAACGATACGACGATAGTATTAAATTTATACACGTCCACACACATTCACACACAAAAACATATATATATATATATGTATATATATATATATATACACGCGTACATACATACAGACATACAGAGACTCGAAGCCGGACGTGTCAACTTTCCGCGAAGCATTTTTTTTCTTTTCTTCTTTATTTTCTTTTTCCTTTTCGCTCCACAATCGCGCTGTCATACCTTACTGTGTTCATCATCGGTGATCGGTGCCTAATAAAATGAGCGAAAGGCAAAAATGGCTAAAGACAAAAAATAGCGAAAAAAAGAAGAGAGAGAGAGAGAGAGAAAAGAAAGGACGAGGGCATAATACGAGGGTAAAACGCGGAGGTTTTGCCCAAAATGCAAAAGGGATGTGACACGTCCGCGCACATGGCATTGAAAAAAAAAAAAAAATAAATAAAACAAAAATTATACACGTATGTAAGTAACTTTTAGAGTATTTGAGTAAAAAAGAGGCATACATAGTTGATAGCGTTTTATTAAATGTTGTGAAAAACGTCTCTCATCTGTCTGTCATCTAAATGTCTGTCGTTTAAGTGTCTTCTATCTTCGTATTCTTGATGCGCGTTTAGGGTTAAAAAAAAACGGCTGTATCTTGATAAACTATATCTTTTCTCTCAAGATAGAAAATTTGTGGATTTAAAAATTAATTTAATAAAATAAAAAAGTTACTCTATACAATCTTCATCAAACATGGATGATATAAATGTTGAATCGAGCAGCCACCTTTAATGCTAAAAGCGCCTCAAGAAGATCTATGTTTTACCATCTTTTATTAACAGAAACTCCCAACATTTTTAAAAAGTTTTCATCCTTTCCTCATCATTCCCTTTTAGAACATAGTTTTAAATGCGGCTCAAGTTTCTTTATTTAATCATTTTTAAATAATTTGTATTATCAAATTATTTATGAAGAAATATTCGTTTTAGCGCATATCATTATTTTTTAAGTATTTAATCAATGTGGATTATTATTTTCATTATAATCAAAATTGAGGAAGTATTAGAATTAAATATAGAATAAAATACGAATTAAATAAAATTCGTATACACGGGGTTAGAGAATAAGTTTGGCAGAAAAAAATTTCGAAAATATCATATAACGATCTCTCATATCTCATATTTAAGATTATATATTTTCAACGAACGATTCCAAAAATGGGAAGACTGTCATCGCTCTATTCTCTTCAGAAACCAGCAACGAAAATGGCAAAGCGATATAGCGATTCTAAACATGGCGCGTAAAGTCCCTCTCTCTTCATGGCATCAACACAAACGTGAAACCTTCAACGAAGCCTCGGATATGACTAAACCGATGGTAAGTCATTGCCATTTGCGATAAAGCTAATAGAAATTATAAAAATATAAAGCGCAATTTTGAATGCAAATGAGAACAAGACTAAGCTTTCATATCATTTTTTTACCAAAAAAATTGGGTTTCCTAAATTATAAATTTAATTTAATTTTCTTCCAAGTTTTTCACACGCATAAAAAATATTTTTATATCGTTGTGTTCCCGATGTCAAAAAAGATTAATTATTTTATTAATCTCACAACCCATAGCTTCAATATTGAATACCTAGACGGTAAAAATTCGAATAAGATGTTCATCGACTTAAAATCTCGCTGAAACTAGTTAAAACGAAAGTAGACATTTTTACTCCAAATTTTTGGTCAAACCTAGATCTTATTTTCTATCCTTGAAGCGTCGGGTTTCGAGGTGCATCGATCCAGCGCTGAGAACATTCTCCTCGGTAAAACGAGGGGACCACCACCGTTACAACAAATGGCGGTACCGTCGTAACTTACCTCCCCCTCTCACCCCCACCCCGTGTCTCGTCTGGTGGGAAAAAGTTCGTCACACACCTCCGGCACATCTCCGGCGTGACGACGGTTTAACCACACAGTCGCACAGCGAGATTCGACTCGCGAGGGAACCTCGACTCCTCTTGGTTGGCGCGTCGCGACTCGCGTGCCCTATTCCTCCCTTCATTTTTTTTTACAAGCTGAAACCGGGTGCCCGTGGTGCCCCCTGGTCTCCGATACCTCGTACCGTTCCAATCGTTCTCGGGGAACGGCATTCGTTCAAGAGAGAAAGAAAGAGACGTCGCCGCCCGTCCGTCCTAGCTTTGCGAGAGATCTATCTGGATCCAGCGATCGTTCGACAAATCTATCGAAGTGAAATTCGAATCTCGAGAATTATTCGATGTTGTGAAGTGAGTGAAGTTCCGAGGGAAGACCCCGGTATGTCAGAGAGAGAGGGAAAGAAGAGCGACGACGTGCCCGAAGGTGTCGTTGACGTTTCGTGTGTCAGTGTCCTCTCTTCGTCTCTCTCTCTCTCTCTCTCGCGTTTGCGCTCGCAACGCTATTCCCCGTCTCGTTCTCAAGCACCAGCTTTCGTCGAGTTCTCGCGTTAGAAGAAAGCATCCCGAGGAAGAAGACTCGAGTACTACGGGACATTTGGGAATGCGGTGTAAACTATATTCCAACGAAACTATATAATCGATACTAAAGCCCTAGTTATTCTTTTCCTTCCTGACATAGGATATCCCTATCTAGCCACTATAATCCTATATCCCTAGATCCCTATAATCTTTATCCGCGTGTTTCTGCTCTTTTCTAATTCAATCATAATCCAGATATTATATAGAAAATTACTCCGTAATTTTACTATTCGATCATCATCTTCACACTTTCTTCTTTCTTACCTGCATATACCATATTACCAATATTATTACCACGGTTGCTCCATTTCATTCCTATTTTCATAACCATCCTTCTTTCCTATTTATTTCTCTCGCGTCAAATATTTTCTCTTCGTTATCCTTGTTTCCAAAAACATTCCAAAAGCTCTCGACTTGCTCAATACTCTTTAAAAGATCAATAAAAGAAGAAGAAGAAGAAGAGAAGAAGAAGAAGAAGCTACTCTTCAACATCAATCGTGAGTCGTGGCGCGATGCTGGATGACAGATTAGGCCGGGAACGGCTGTCACAGGCGGAATCCCTCGGGAATCTTCCCGTTCGGGAAGCAGAGCTCGACACAGAATGACGAGCTCGTGTTGCTGTTGCCGGAAGCGAAGCCGCGAAGAAGGGCGACGAGCAACCCGGCGACGAAGACGACGACGACGAGCGAGTTCGGGGTCCTCTAGCGCCAGCGGAGGGCTATGAGCGCTGACAATGGGGACGAATCCTTGGTAATTATCATACCTTTCTCTTTTTTTGTCATCGCCCTCGCGTTCTGTTCCCGCGTTCCACGTCCTGTTTCTCACAAACGAATACTGCGCCGTTCATCTACAGCTGTTCGATCATATATATGGTACATTTTTTGATTATTGCAGAGATTTATGCAAAATTTTCAGGTTGCGTTCTAAATCCATGTTTTTTTTTTTAGTTTTTCTTCTTCTTGTTTTCATTTTTACATTTATTTCTTGCGATATTTTCATAATGATCCCAGATAGCACAAGCTATTCGAAAAGAATATTGTTATGTCATCAATTTTGAGTCCCTTTTCAAATACATATAGAATTCATTTTATAAAATAAATTTCTTTAAAAAAATAATTATGAAAAATGCAACTCTCAACTAATTAATTAATGTATCTCAAATCTAAAATAAATAAAAAAATTTTTACATTTTATGAAATGAATTCTATATATATTTGAAAAGGGACTAAAAATCGGTGACATACAAATGAATTCTTTTCGAATAGCTTGTGCTATCTGGGATTCTTGTGTACTAATAATCAGTTGTCTTGACGTGGGTTCTAAGATATGAAAATATATTTCAAGCCTATTCCACTCTGCTCTTTTTCTATATCTTTCTGTTTTTTCAATCCATCTTTCTTGCCATCGCATGGAAAGATCGTGGTTGGATTTGAAAGCCCGTTCCTGACGTAACGCGGTCACGAACCGTGCATTTTCGTGGCCAGAGGTGCAACGCCTCAAGATCGATAAAAACTACAGCCCTGGAATTAGTTACTATTTTTCTATTTCTTGCTAATCATTTTTATCGATAAAATTTAATATAACATTTTTTAATTTAGTAATGATAATTCGCACGCAACAAAAAAATATTTATCGTAATAGATAGATAATCATTCCTATATCCATAAATCCTTATTTTTAAAAAATACCATCAATTATAAATTATGTTCAAAAAAAGACATTTTAGAATTTCTGATGTTCTAAAAATATTTGTGAAGAATTTTTAAAGCATTAAAAATTCTGAAATGCCTTTGAAACATAGGAATTAATGAGGGTGCTCTTTTGGAGCACTGATAGAGTTCTCTATAAATTTTTTTAAAAAAACAATTATGAAAAAATGCAACTCTCAACTAATTAATTAATGTATCTAAAATCTAAAATAAATAAAAAAATTTTTACATTTCAATTCTTGGTACAATTTATGCAAAGGATTTCAAAGAAGGAAAGCAATTTGTAGAGAATTTAATCGATAAAAACTGTATAGTTACATAATTAAATGGCAGTTAAGCTGAACGAAGAATTTGACAGTCGACTAGCTTCGCTGATCGATTTCTACCTTCACTTCCGTCGCTTTTCGACGACTTTTACGCGCGCCAAGCCTTTCTGTACACATCACACACAGCGCAAAATTCGTATCTTTATTGCATCCGCTCGACGCAGTTGCATAAAATGTCTTCTCTATTTCGCGTTTCAACGTTTCGCAACTCTTCGCGCAATTTGTAGCTGAGATTGCAACAATTCCTAAATCAAATCCTAAATCGCAGTTTCGCAGTCACGCGGGCACATTCCCTTATCTTGGTGTCTCTACCTTAAATGTCAAGGATCTCGCACAGCTCGTCCTCAGCGTGCGCGCGAGGACTATTGACGAAACGTTTCCGTAACGAGGCTCGCAATACATATAGAAAATTAAGAGGGAATATATTAGCCTCGACGAGACAGCTTGACATTGGACCTTGGCATGTTCGCGCTTCCATGAATATCGACTTATCGCGCGAGTCCTTCAACGCGTCCGTGAAACCTTCCTATCCTTATTGTGCATATGTCGTTTGCGTTCGCGACAGATGCCCATCCTGGATGGATCAACGTCGATTTTACCTCGTTATCATATCGGAAAGCGGAAAGCTGCGTAAATACCAAGCGTCAGAATTATCGTCACGATTTCTGTCGATTGAGCGATTTCTTTTCAACGGAAACGTCATATTATAGGGATTCATTTTTAAGCGATTAAACACGAACAGGTTTTGACGTAAATTGAGCCTTATTACAAGCAACAAAAGTATAATATTATCTTCGAATGATTTCACGTAAACTTTTTTCATCAAAATGTTGAAACATTCTAGATATTAAATAATATAAATATGTAAAATATTTAAAATAATATATAAAATATTAGTTTCTTAATTTTTGCAATAACATCGCGTTGGCTCTATTGGCCGATATATATATAAATTAGGTATAAAATATTTATAATGTCAAAATTTAGAGATGATTAATTTCCAATTCTAAAACTAGGCAAATTAATTTAAATTAGGATAAATTCTGAATCTTGTAAGAGAGTTTTCACTTTCTGAAAATGTTTCGGCACAGTAAATCGGAGAAGCGCAGCGTTTCAATCTGGAAATTCGCGGTGAATCGATTGATCCGCTTCGGCGAATCGCGTTTTGCGAGACGCTTACGGGAATGCAAAGTAATACGTGTCAAGTCTAACGAGGCGCATCGCGGAATGTAACCAGAAGGAAAATGCGTAAGAAAAATTATAGTCGGATCACAAATATGGTATTGGAATACAGCTTGGCATTCCTTCGAAATGATATCGCGTGATCTCGAGAAACAAATACATATTCCATTGAGCCTACTTAATCAGAAAAAATTCATATTACAACATGTTTACGTCTAATTTTTTTAATATTATGTAGCATATTATTTTATTATAATATTTAAAAAATAACTTGATATAATGCAAAGAAAAATCAAAATAATAATATAATATTGAAAATGATTCTTATATGTATGAAAAAGATCTGGAGATTTTATCATCCTAAAAATTAGATTACAATTTCGAACAAAAATATTCAATATTTTAATAGAAACATTTGATCGTTTATCGCATGTTACAGTTTTCGAGAGAAATCGCGATAGCGGGATACTTTCGCGATTCCGAGTTGCGAGAAAAATCGCGTTGAATGGAAGAAGCATGAGTCGCAGAAAGGAAAAGAGATTCCTCTCGTTTTGTGGCGCGAATTCAGAATGGATATATCCGCCTTTCTCACGACGAGACGTGAGAAGATCGATTCGAGCGAGTATAACTGGAACGTACACGCAGTTTCTGCACACCTTGTATCTTATCTTCAATTGGAGCAATCATTCTATTCGCGTGGAGACGTATTCCATCTCAAACTCAACGTCATGTGGAGAAATGTCTTGTGACTGAGATTACCGAAGCGAGATCAACCGAGTGAAACATAAAGGAGGATAGTCTTTACACGCAGTCGGCTCGATAAAAAATTTAGCCCCGATCCGAGTATTAGGTCCACTTAAAGAGATTAACACGTTTTTTTCACATTCGAAGAAGGCCAAGTGATCCTCAATGCAATGATCGTGACAATTATTGGATGACTCAAGTCTCTTTTTAAAGAGAGACTAAACTAATTCAATTTTAAGAAGACGTTACTTACTAAGGAGCTGGAAATCGAATTAGATACACGATATTATTTTTCTTTGCGTCCAAGAGCTTTCATTAAACATTCAAACATTATATAATTAGAATTGGTTTTTTATTATATATTTATGTTTATTATATATATCGCTAAGTAAAATTTTAATTTTATTTAAAAATGTGTATATTATACTCGCGATATTTTTTATTATTTAAAGAAACGCAGAAAATGCTTCATGTACAGGCTGATTAGACGGATGTGCGAAACATTTGCAGAATGAATTAATCGAAAAGAACTTTATTCCTCATTCGGCTGAAGTATTGTTAATTCTCTTAGCTGGGACCACTATTATATACACAAAAGCCGATCGTTTATATAAAATGTTTGACTGTTGGCAGCTCTCGCCAGCATTCCGCGGAGCCCAATTGCTTGTTTGAATGCAACACATGTGACATACTTGTGCTTGAGGTTGCAACCCACGTAAGGAAACGTAACACACATTTCAAGTATAATAAGTGTGTGTGTACATACACGTAAACATATAGAAAATAAAGAAACTAATTACCATGTAAAAAATATTTTCTACAGATATCAGTCGTCGCGCAACATCTATCATATTTCTTATGTAAAATGGAAGATATTAATTATCTTTTTCTTGACAGAATCGTTTATTATTTATGTTAATTTTTACCTATATTTTAAAAATTTATTTTATTCATTACATCTCATGTTATACAAACAGGTTTTTTTAATTATTAAAAATTAGATGTAAGTAATATAATATTATTTAATATTTCAAAAATTAATTTTATCCGAAAATTAAAACTAGCAAACTCTTTAATTATTTTAAGAATTATCATTTTTTGTACAAATTGCAAATATATTATGCGCATCTAGCATTACGAAATAGAATTTTGTAGCACAAAGTACGATACTTTTCGACGTGATTCCGATCGATTAGTCGTGTATTCAGCTTCATCTGGATTGAACTTTAACTCTGACTCGGTGTCGAGACCTGACCGACTTGAAACCGCTAACTGTTTCGACGAGTTCGACCTTGACTTCAATATTTCGCTTCCGTCAGCGGTTCTCGAAGAAAAACAGCCTCGTAATCACGATAATATCATCCCGTCTGACTACGCGCCACTTTAACCCCTGACTGTCAATTTCGATTTCTTATCTACCACTGTCACGCAAATCATATTTCATTCTTTGAAGAAATAAATGTATCGCAAAAGAAAATTATTTGAATCGAGGCAACATAATACATATAAATAAATTATAATACATTACCGTATGATTTTATTTTTGATATAATTTAAATTGAGATTAAACAGTAAAATTCAATTTAAAAAAACAGTAAAATTAAAATGCAGATAAAAATATGATTAAAAATTCATAATAATAACCTCACATGTTTTTTACATAAATAAAAAAACTGTTGTTCACGCGTGAGTCGCGTTTTTCCACAAAATGTTGCAACTCTTCAAGGTCTCTCGTTGAAAATCGCGATGATGATTTCGCGCGTGGACGACGTATTAGAATGGAGTTTAC